ACTAGAAAGAGTGTCCTCGGCCCAAAAATGCCGAATCCCCACCCGCATGTGTCCTATGCGGACAGACAGGCCACCCGGCCAACTTTAGAGGCTGCCCTCGCGCTCCTCGCCCACTTCTGAGCTACAGAGCTCCACCTCAGGTCAATGACTGAACTTTCCCGGCTCTTCAAAGCCGCATGCCCCGCCAGGGCCTGCCCCTACCACAGCCCCCTCAGGACTCATCTCAGCCCACACAGGGCATTTATCGACCCCTCAGGGCCCCTATCGACCACCTCAGGGCGCTCCTTGGCCCCTTATGAGCCTTCCGCTCTCCCAGCCTGCGCCGCTCCCAATTAACCCTTGGGGACCAAAGGCAACGAACATCCCGCGGCCCTCCGCCGCCCCACAAAAACAGGCAGACCCTATAGCAGACGACTTAAACCTAGTGTCTAACACTATGAGTAAAGTCAATATAGGGGAAATCTCAATCCTTGCGCGTAAACTGCGCGTTGCTCAGTCCCCTCAGGACCGTCTCTTTGCTCTTGCTGAGCACATCTATCTACTAAAGTCATTGTAAAAACACTATGTCGGAGCCCTCTACTCCCGCAATATCGCACGGTCGTATCAAACCAAAGGGTTTGTCGCTTGTTTCGTTCAATATCCGCGGTTTGCGAAATAACCTCCCAGAGCTTAGGCTCTTTCTTCGAGATCGCGAAGTCGACCTCTTCCTCTATCAGGAGATCCACCTCAGCTCTAAGGTCTCTAAAGGCCTCTCTATCAAAAGTTATTCACTTCTTCGTAATGACAGACCCGACCGCAAAGGCGGCGGTACTGCCATTTACTTCAAAAAGTCGCTTCATTGCTCCCACATCAAACTCCGACGCTTACCAGTATGGAAGCCACTAAAACTAGAATAGCCATGACTGGACACCAGTCTATTATTATAACCTCTTGCTATATCCCTAGCGGAACCCTCCCCGTTAAGAGCGATTTCGAAGCCATCCTTGCATTAGGCGACTCAGTCATTATGTTTGGAGATTTTAACTCCAAGCATACTGAATGGTCCTGTCGCACTACTACTAGTAGTGACAAGCTGCTGCTCAATATCACTCAGTCTCTCGACCTGACAGTCTAAAGCCCCCTCCCTGTCACCCACTATCCAGACAACGTTGACTACGCTCCTGACGTGCTAGACTTTGCTCTAGTTAAAGGAGTCTCCCTTAACCTTAGAGCAATCGAGTCTCTCGTTGATCTAGGATCCGACCACCGTCCTGTATCCCTCCTTCTTGGCCATCAGCCAACTCCAACTCTCACTTCCAAAACTTACACAAACTGGAAGGGCTTCAAGAAGTCTCCATCCTCGGCTATGGACTCTCCAGACCCTCCCATAACCCTCTCGTCCGACGTCCTCGACAGTACGGGGAAAATAGACACCGCGGTCGAAAATCTTACCTCTCTTATAACATCCTCTCTTAAAGAGAATGAAAAGGTTGTCCCGGTTGCTAAAACCAGTCTTCTCATAGATATTAGCAACCTGCTCAAAGTCAAAAAAGCTGTCCTCCGTAGAGCTGCACGCTATCCCACTCCCGAGTATAGACTCGTGGCCCACCGCCTTCAACGCAAACTCCGTTACCGCCTCAAAGATTTCAGAGACCTTGAAAGGGGCAATCTCATGGAGAATATCTTCCCCTCTCACACAGCGTACTACCAGATGGCGAGAGCCCTCCGGATAGACGCTATCACGCATACTCCCCCTCTGTCTCGTCCCGATGGCTCTATTGCCTTCGAGGACGAAAAGACTGAGTGCTTCGCCTATAGCGTCGCCACTCAATGCTCTCCCAGCTCACAACCCACTGACCCCCTACATATCAAACTAGTGGAGGGCAAGGTCCGTCGCCGAAACTCACCCCCCCCCCCTCCACCACCTCTGACGCTATTACTGTGTCCAAAGATGAGATTTCATCTAACATCAAAGGACTTAAGCCCAAAAAAGCACCGAGCGCGGATGGCATCTCCAGCCAAGCCCTCAAACAATTTCCGGAGCAGGTGATCGCCTTATTGGTCATAATCTTCAACGCCTGCTTCGAATTTAGCTATTTTCCCACCTCTTGGAAAGAGGCAACTGTCATTGGCATTCCCAAGTCAGGTAAACCTCACCACCTCCCCTCTAATCACCATCCCATCAGCCTATTCAAGGCCATGGGCAAACTTTTCGAACGAGTTATTCTCGTGCGCATGAGGCGACTCTCTTGTGATCCCTCAACAATTCGGGTTCCAAGCCAAACACTCGTGCCCCCAGCAAGTTCACCGCATAGTGGAATATATCCTCAGCAGTTTTATCCTCGTCGTCAAAAGACCATCGCGGTCTTTTTCGACATTGCCAAGGCATTTGACAGAGTCTGGCATTAAGGCATTATCTACAAATTGTACGACTTAGGCCTCCCTGACCGTCTCACCCGCCTTGTAGCCTCCTATTTGAAGGATCGTACCTTTCGTTTTAGACACGAAGGCACGCTATCCTCTACTCGTCAAATCAAAGCCGGTGTCCCTCAAGGCTCTGTGCTTGCCCTCCTCCTATATATACTATTCACCAACGACATCCCTATCCCGTCGAATGGTGTTAAACTAGCCCTCTTCGCAGATGACACAGCCCTTTACTCTAAAGGCAACTCACTGCCACAGATTCAAAACAAGATCCAAAAGTCAGTAAGCGACTTAGGAGCTTGGTTCCAAAAATGGCGTATCGACGTAAACCCGGAGAAGAGCTCCGCCGTTTGCTTCGAATATAAACGACGCCGTCTCGCCGCCACTCCGCCAATGAGGATGTTAGAAACCCCTGTCCCATGGCAAACAATAGACAAATATTTAGGCGTCATCCTTGATGCAAGGCTCACTTTCGAGCCCCATATCAAGAAAGTAACTCGCACCGCGCGATTTTACATGAGTAGGCTCAACAGCATGTTGGGCAGACACAGTAAAATATCCCTCCGCAACAAGCAAACCCTATATAAGGTCTGTATACGACCTGTTATGACCTACGCGGCCCCCATTTTCGCACATGCTAAACCCAACGTTATAAATGAACTTCAAATAGTTCAAAATCTATTCTGACATAGGGCCACTAACTCGCCCTATTATGTCCGTAATGACGACCTATACCGAGACTTAGAGCTCCCAACAATCCAGCAGTTCCTTAAATCACTCTCTGAGAGATTTTTCAAAGCCTCAGAGTTCCACCCAAATCATCTCATTCGTGAGACAGCTGCCTATGCAGCCCCTCTCCACACTCGATATAGTGTGCGCAGACCGAGAAACTCTCTCTCGGACCCCCCCAACAAGCTTTCGGCTGACCTGAACTGCCTCCTGGCGGCTGAGGCCGAGCCTACTTAACACATCCCTTAATCTGCTTTAGTTGGGCACACTTCTAAGCGGCTTTTCGCCGCTTGCGCCCTCCTTTCTGCCAAAGAGGGTCGCGTTCGTGTACGGCTTAAAAATCTCTCGTCACATAAGTCGTCATAGCAAACCACGCAGCCGGCTAAGCGAGCTGAGCTGAGCTGAGCTGAGAAAGCGGGGGAGAGAGGTGGGGAATGCTCATAATTCCCCACCTCTCTCCCCCGCTTTCCGAAGGGTTGCCCATATTTCCTTCGGGCGCAAAAAAAATTTACAATTTGTTGATACGGTTGTTTTACCGCGCAAATAACGGACCTCACCCATACCTCCAACATTTAGCACTCCTTCACGCGCGCCCACCTGACCGGCGGTCACTCCCACGAGAACTTCAACACTTACCGTCCAGCGAGGGTGCCACTTGAGACGAGTGAGTCCCCAGACACCTGATATGATGGCGTGCAATACGCAACACTCCAATCTAGAAGACGTAAAGCAGCACCCAAGACCGGGGAGCCGCGCCCCCGCGATGATGCCCAGGTAGAATGGATGCCTCGGTACCTTTAGAACCTCCTGTCCCTCAAAAGGAGAAAAAGAGAAGAACATCACTGTTTGCAATTTGTTCGAATTCAGCTACAGTTTTAAGACATAAACAAGAAAGAAAAACGGAAAAGTAATAGTGAAAGTAAATGCTATCACATTACCCAGAACAGTTATAGGCAATTGCTGTTTCATTTCTCAGTATCGACCCTTATTATCTTTGGTTTCAAGGACCAGATTTCCTCAGTCTAACTCCTGATTTATGACCTACGCCAGTAGGCATGATGGAAAATATAGAAACGGGTGTGGAAAACTCGCCGAAAAGCGTTAATATGCTAATAAGAAAAGAGTCGTGGAGTTTACCCAACTACGAATGTTTCAGTAGTTTCGAAAGAATAAAGTTACGGCACGAATACTGCAGGCCGTAGAAAAAGTCAAATTTTCAATTTTCCATATACTAACCAATTCGGAAAAGTTAGTTCTGTGTTCTGATAATATTAGACCCAAGTCGGTTACAGGACCCGATGACGTTAATAATAATAATAATAATAGTAATAATAATAATTAGGCGTAGGGAAGTGACGACCCCATCGCCCGCTGACGTAACGGTTATGTGACAAAACCGCTACGTCAGCGCAGTCAGTCAGCACCTTGCCAAGAGGTGTTAGTGCCGTGCCTCGGCAAAAATTGAAGGTGCAAAGGCCCGCTTGTGCACATGGCCTCACCATGAAACGGCGCCGGGTCTGGGCGTCTCCCGCTAAATGACGCCCACCACTATGGATGATGGAATACGGAAGAACGCGCAAAGGGCCGCTGCCTATAGGTCGCCAGGGCGCGTCTGGAGCTGGCGCTGGACGCGACAGCATGCGAACCGCCAGCCGAGCTAGAGGTACTGCACTACCACCCATCAGCCCCCCGCATCTATCATCCCCACCAGCTGGCTTGGTGTCAGCAGGGTCTTCGCGGGCCCAGCAATCGGCACCCGCCACTGGTGGAGTACGCCGCATGCGATAGACAATCGAAATGAATACTAACGCATTGCGTATTTTAGGGTGAAAGGGGGGGAAGTTGGAGGTTTGGCGTATCAGGCTAGGATGCATCACTTTTTTGCAGAGCTGGAGCCATCTCTATCCGTCACTGAGCAAAACCTGGCGGACATAGTTCGGTATATCCTGCGCTCCAACATATTTGCTGACGCCGAACTCGAACGGCTACGACGTGAGGCTGTTCCCTCGTCGGATGAGAATGCTACGGCTGAGGATGCGGCGCCACAAATGGTAGAGCAACCCGCAAATGTGGATGCCGCCGTGAATACCCCAGTTGTGTTTGATTCAAACGATGATGGAACAGTCGCCCAGGAACTGGAATTAGAGCATATGAGGAGTATATTGGAAGAGGCGATTGTGGAAACGCGCAGTACGCCTCTCGAAAATCGACCGCGACTTCCCCGCATAGCTCTAAGCAAGCGGAATCGGGCTGTCGTGAGGGCTCTGAACCCAATGCTGGTGACCTATTTGGAAGCCAGCCGGGACCTTTGCGAGACGGACTCAATTCTTTTTGGCGCCGCGCTGGCAGTCTGCCGTATCATAGGCGCCAAGGTTTCCACGGCTGGACGCGCTACTGGCCATAGTAGCGCTATCCCAGCATGGAGAAGAAGAATTGAGGAACGTATCGCAAAAGCTAGAGCTCTCATCGGCAGACTGATATGCTTCAGATCAGGCAACAACAGGCCAAGAATTGTGCGCACCGTCAGGATGGCGTTTGCTGGGACAAATGTCAGTTTGTCCCAGCCGGATATAACGCAAAAACTGATGGAGCGCATAGATGATCTGAAGCAGAGAATCGCTGCTTGGGGAAAGCGGATTCGGCGATATACCGAGAGGTCGACACGGTTCAACCAGAATCGTCTCTTCCAGAGTGATCAGAAGAGGCTCTATGAATCATTGGAGCGACCAATGGTAAGTGGAACGGGGAAACCGAGGGTTTTGTCTGTGCAATACAGGATCAGGTTATTAAGACCAACAACTATCGGAGATACATCCTAAAGGATGGCACCGTCGACATCTGTCGAGCTTGTCGCCATCCCGGTGAGTCACTTAGGCATGTTATCTCCGGTTGTTCGGCGCTTTCTAACTCTGAGTACTTGCACAGGCACAACCTAGTAGCCAGAATTCTATACCAGGAGCTCGCTCTGAAATACGGTCTCGTGGACCGGAAATTGCCGTACTACAAGTACTTGCCGGAAGCCGTGCTCGAAAATGATCGCGCCAGGCTTTATTGGGACCGGGCCATCATCACAGACAGGACTATTCTTGCGAATAAGCCTGATATTGTGCTGATGGACCGGGCATAGTCAAGGATATTTTTGGTCGACATTACCATTCCGTATGACGAGAACCTCGTGAAAGCCGAAACAGACAAGCAAACAAAATATCTGGACCTGGCTCACGAGGTGACCAACATGTGGGGTAGTCTGCCGACCGAAATTATTCCTGTAGTCGTCTCTGCAAACGGGCTAATCCCAGTCAGCCTCTCGGGTCATCTGAGGCGGCTGGGACTACGTGGCGGACCGCTCCGGGCTCAAATGCAGAAGGCGGTGCTCCTCGATACCGCCCGCATCGTCCGCCGGTTTCTTTCCCTTTCCCCCTAACCCTCGGCCGTTTGGTCTCCCCCTGCCGAAGGCCTCCATCTGGTTGGGCTTTTATTTATTTATGTATTTTTATATTTATTTTATGTTATTGATATTTATGTATATTTATCTTTTCATTTTCATTTATAATTATATATTTTTAGAACCCAACCAGATGAGAAAACTATATAGATACCCCACAATAATAATAATAATATTAATATATTTATTTGCTTAAAACATGGTATGAAAAAGATTTTACAAATATACATTCGAACAACATGTTTTGCTGGAGAGAACATAGCATGCAAAAGATTTTTATCGTGCATTAAGACTTATGATTAATATAGTCCATAATGCTATAAAAATTATTCTTAACTAGGTGTTCCAGTAATTTTGATTTAAATAATCTAGTATTTAACATTTTAATATTATTTGGTAACTTGTTATATAAACGTACACACATAGATAAACAGCTTTTATTATATTTACTTATTCTAGGATTGTCACTTAATATGAGTTTGTATGGGTTTCGCCGCATCCGAGGGTTTACATTGTCCACCGTGTTAAATAAATATTTATGCTTCCATACAAACATGCATATTTCATAAATATAAAGACATGGTAGGGGTAATAAGTCAAGTTTTTTAAACACCAGTTGACATGATTCAGTTGGTTTAAGCCCACATATTGCTCGAATACATTTTTTTTGTGCGCGAAATGCTCTATTTTGATCCGTGCTATTACCCCAGATTACAAGTCCATAGCGCAGTATTGACTCGACGTATGCATGGTAGGACAGAACAGCCGTTTGTATGTTGGTAACGTTTTTTAAATGTTTAATGGCGTATGCAAATTTATTTAATCTCGTAGATACATCGTTTACTTGCAATTTCCAGTTAAAATTTTCATCTATATTTATTCCTAGAAATTTTGTATTTGTTACTGCTTTTATTTTTGGTATGTTGAGATTAATATTATATTTTTTATTATTACATTTATTGAATTGTATATATACTGATTTGTCAAGATTTATTTTTAAATTGTTTATGTCAAGCCATTCAATTAATTTATCTATAGTGTTATTTATGCCAGTCTCGTGGTCATTAATAGTATTATCTTTTTTATTAGAAGTCACAATTATTGAAATATCATCCGCGAATAATATGCATTTATGATTTTTTATATTAACTATGTCATTTATATATAATATAAATAAAATAGGACCAAGCACACTTCCTTGTGGAACGCCATACCTATTGAGTCTATATTCAGACGAGTACGGTATGAAATCCTTATTTTCATCTATTTTCATAATTGTAACAAATTGCTGTCTGTTACTGAGGTATGAAGATATCCATTGAAAATTGGGCCCTCTAATCCCAAGCTTTTCAAGTTTTTGTAGCAGGAGGTCGTGTGAAACTAAGTCGAAAGCTTTAGACAGGTCAAAGAAAAGCCCTGTAGTTAAGTGATTATTATTTAAATTTGATAGGATTATTTTTAGGAGAGAAAAAACGGCCAACGTAGTAGATTTGTCTTTTTGAAATCCGTTGTTCGTTAATTATAATATTAAATTTGTTGCAGAATTCGATTATTCTTTTGTACATGCACTTTTCATAAATTTTGGACATAATAGGTATCAATGTTATTGGGCGATAATTATTGACGATATGTTTCTCTCCTTTTTTATATAGTGGTTTGACAATGGATAACTTTAATGGATCTGGAAAAGTTCCACACGTTTTGGAAATAGTTCTGTTAAAGAAGGCTGACTTTCTTATTTGGGGGTTCGTTGAGGACGAATTTTTTCATTCAGAAATGCGCTGTTTAAACACAACAAAAAACATAGAAAAGAGTTCACGTTAAAGCAGATTAGCTTTGGAAATAGGAGAGGATTGCCTCCTTCGATTAAGTGGTCGTTAACCATTCAAGTCCAACTTAACAGAGGAAACAACTTAACAGTAGAAAGTCTGTCATTTTGGATGGTAAACACTATATATAGTGAAAATGATTAAAAAGAGTTAATCATCAATTCGGTCACGCTAATCACCAGACGGTGATGAATGAGGTGAACCAGAAGTTTTACATTATGAATTTACCAAATACAGTTCGTAGTGTCAGTAGTGTAAGACCTCTAAATCTAGGCCACAGTCGGTGCAGCAAGGCAACCTTCCATAGAACAAATAGTTCACCATGAGCCACCCTTCACATGATCAGCCGTAGATTATTTCAGCCCCATGAGTGTATCTAATAAAAAGTGTATCTAATAAAAAGTAAAATATAATATTTATGGAAAAATATTAAAGAAATGCATAATATGGTCAAAAAAAAATATTAACAGAAAACATCTTAAGCGGACAAAAAATGAAGGAAAAGCCACTTGGAACATAATAAAAGATAAAAATAATAGTATCAACTCGATTAACAGTGTGAAATCAATACAAAACGACGGAAATATTATTCATAATCCTACCCAAATAGCAACGTTTTTAATGACTTTTTTATTAATATTAGTAATGGAAATAATTTACATGCGCCAAACGAACAATATCAAAAAATATCAATAAATGTTAATGATAAATCAATATTCTTGATACCTACTTCAGAGCTTGAAATCATAAATATAATTAAATCATTAAATAATACCAAAGCTGTGGGGTATGACTCTATATCTACAGAAATAATTAAAGCAAGTGCTCGTGTCATTGCCCCCATTCTTAACCATATAATCACAAATTCCTTGATCCAAGGAATATTTCCAGATAAATTAAAACACTCTATTATTAAACCATTGTACAAGAAAGGTGATAGAAAAGAACCTAATAACTATCGTCCTATTACGCTTGTACCTATTATATCAAAAATTTTTGAAAGGGTTTTTTACAACAGGTTAATTAAATTCCTTAATAAACATAATATATATTAAAAAAGAACAGAATGGTTTTCAACACAATAAATCAACTTCTTTAGCAGCATTCTCTCTTGTAAAAAATATAACTGGATACATTGATGAGAAAATTCCGGTGGTAGCCATATTCTTTGATATGAGTAAAGCTTTTGATTTTGTAGACCATGGGATTTTGCTCACCAAATGCGAAAAATATGGCATTAGAGGTGTAGCTTTAGACTGGATAAAAAGTTTTCTAATCAATCGTAAACAATATGTTGAAATCACTACTTTAAATGACAGACATGAATGCAGTGTGCACAGATCTCCATCCAGGGTCAATAAACATGGAGTTCCACAAGGGAGCGTACTAGGCCCCTTATTATTCTTACTGTACATTAATGACCTACCAGATTCAATAAACTGTCAAAGTGTTCTATTCGCAGACGACATATCTATAATAGTGCCATATAAGGATCAAGATACATCTCACGAAATTAAAATAAGTAAAGAGGTACAATCTGTATTAAGATGGCTAAAAGCAAACAAATTAAATGTAAATTTGTCAAAAACAAAATTCATAAAATTTTGTACGAATAAAAGTAAACGCCCTGATAATAATATTAACATAAAAATAGAAAATGATAGTATAGAAGAAGCTGACAGCATAAAATTTCTGGGTATAACTTTGGACAGATTTTGTAATTGGAAACAACATGTAAATGATGCTTGTCTCAAACTAAATAGATTTTCCTATGCCCTTAGAAAGCTTCGGACCGTATCAGATGAAAAGACTGCAGGTATAGCGTATAAAGGCTATGTAGAATCAATCCTTAGAAATGGGTTAATAATATGGGGGAATTCTACTGATGTTGGTCAAGCATTCATTGCACAAAAGAAATGTTTAAGAGCTATTTGTGGAGCAAGTCCACTTGACTCCTGTAAACCTTTATTTAAAAAACTTAATTTACTGACATTAACCTGCATGTATGTTCTTGAGGTATCAGTCTTTGTAAGGAAGTATAAGGATTTTTTTTAAATTCAAGGGGGATCATTTTAGTAAATACAGACCAAGAGATCCAACTAAAATAATGATTCCATTTTGTAGAACAGCCTTAAATAAACTGAATGTATATCATATGTGCATATCAGTTTTTAATAAACTGCCTAGGAGTCTACGGGAACTTCCAATAAAATATTTTAAAAGTAAGTTAAGAAAATGGCTAGTGGATAAGTGTTTTTATACGATACAAGAGTTCATGCAACATAAAACTAATGTATATGATTATTTGTAATTTTAAATAAAATGTAATATAATAAAAAATATAATATAATAATAATAATATATAATAATAATAACATTTTCTATATAATTTATGATAAATAATAACATAACTTGACATTTTTGTAAGTAACATAATAGTATTTTAATTGTTTTATGTAATTATAAATATTTGCATGCCTATTAAAGGCAGAATATAGCTTGAACTAT